CCATTTTTTGGTTGCAGCCATCATTGTTGTTTGGCGGGCCCGGGCTGGGGATTCGAACCTGCCACCTTAAGTGTATGTGGCTGGCGCCTTAGCCGCTTGAGCCACAGGCGCCAAGCCAAAAAAGATTAATTTTTATTCATAAAAACCTAAGTGCTGGGAGGCCGAGGCAGGTGGATTGCCTGAGCTCACAGGTTCAAGACTAGCATGAGGGGCAGCACCTGTGGCTCAAAGGAGTAGGGCACTGGCCCCATATGCCGGAGGTGACGGGTTCAAACCCAGCCCCGGCCAAAAACTACAAAAAGAAAAATAAATAAATAAATCTAGCCTTGATTAAAAAAAGACCAGCAGAGCAAGAGGGAGACCCCATCTCTTGAAAATAGCCGGGCATTGTGGCTGGTGCCTATAGTCCCAGCTATTCCGGAGGCTGAGGCAAGAGAATCACTTGAGCCCAAGAGTTTGAAGTTGCTGTGAGCTACAACGGCTATGGCCCTCTACCAAGGGCGAGAAAGTAAGACTGTCTCCAAAAAAAAAAAAAAAGAGCCTCAATGTCCATCAATAGAAAATTGAATTTGTAGCTGGTTCATCAAGCCAACGGACTATTTCAGACATTGAAATGACAGCTGCAAACAGTTTCTGAGCATGTGAAAAGTACTTATACAAGAGTAAAAAGCAGAATGCAGAATTTTACTAACAGTGAGAACACATATCTAAGAAAAGCAAAAATCAATTCAGGAGAAGCCTGGAAGGCAATGCATCACATATTATAGTAATTATCCTTGGGTGGATTATGGGTGATTTTTTTCTTTCTATTCTCTTTGCTTACTAAATTTTTGGTAATGAGTGTATTATTTTTGAACTGAATAAAAGCATTTTAACTAATCTCACCCTTAATTTAAAAAATCTATGAAGCCCATATGACACCAGTCAACCATTAGAGTCCAGGTGTGCTCTTCACACACTCAATGGCCTTGGGGTCATTTCTCTGAACTCATTTCCTTGCCTCAAACATGGGGGTGACCCCTCTGGGATGTTGACTGGATTGAGAAAATGGATGAGGGCACGAAAGCTCCCAGCTCTGCGCCTGGCACACAAAGTGGGCATTGCTGGTTCCCTGCAGCCTCCCTCCTCTCTGGGTCCCCAGGTACACGCCCACCTTGTCGGTGTTGATTCCATCCTGACCCGCGCCCCCGATCACGTAGATGCGGCCAGCACAGGGCGCCACTGCTGCAGAGCTCACTGCCTCCAGGAGGGGTGCGGCGGCCGCCCAGGTGTTTGAGAAGGGGTCATAGCGCTCCACACTGCGCAGGCGCTGCAGGCCGTCGAAGCCGCCCACTGCGAACAACTGCGGGTGAGGACATGAGTTGCTCCAGGAGTTACTGCTTGGCCACTTGGCCTCAACGCTTCAGTCTTTCAGTCTGTGGGCAGGAAACTATCCCCATCCTCACCCCAGCTTCCAGACCAAGTCAATGAGAGTGGGGGCCCCATTGCTGCCACCACCTGTGAGGCCTCTGCTAAGTTACTGAACCTCCCTGAGTTGGTTTCCTCTGGTCAACCGCAGATGAGACCAGTCTCTAACATGAGCATTGAACGTGATTAGATCTTGCACCAAGCTGATACTTAATAATAGCCAGCAGCTTATTAAGGGTTTATAACCCCACTTAATCGATTCTAAAAAACACTTTTATTTGCATTTCTGAATTCAGGATGTAGTTTAGACAATTGGCAGATTTTTTTTTTTAGTCTTAAGTGGCAGAGTCAAGATTTAGACCTAATCTGTTTGACCCAAACCCACACTCTTGACCACTAAGTTGTTACAGTAATTGCTATCATTATTAGCATTATTATGTGACCTCAGGCAAGGCCCTTTCCTTTTTCTGGGTCTAGCCTTCTCCCTCACAGATCCATACTCTGGGTCCCAGGGTGGCAACTGTAGTTGTGCCTACCTGCCCCTGCACGACTGCCATCTTGTGCCTCCACCTGCCCTTGTGCAGTGAGGCTACCTTGATCCAGGTGTGCAGATGGGAGCTAAACATCCACACATCACGGCTGTTGATGTGGCCTCCTAGGAAGAGAGAAGCAGCTGTTGCCCCCAAGTGCTCTTGTTATCTCCAGCACCCCTAAAGAGCTAGAAACTAGAGCCTCCAGATCCAAAGGAAGAGTTAAGTGCTGACCACAGAAAGGACTTACCCCTGGGCTGGTGTAAGACTCTGGGCCTGTGACCCAGACAGTGCTTTGAACCAGTGGGGAGAAGGTCTGAGTTAGGACTCCTCTGGGGAAAGCCTGACAGATGGAGGAGCTGACCTTTACTAGGTGCCTTATGGCGTTGTGCCAGGCTTTGTGCTCAGGGAAGCAAGGAGGGGAGCACTCTACTAAAGATAAGAGTACAAAGGATACCCAAGACAAGCATCAGGAATGTGCTGGGGGCCACGGGAAAGCAGAACCACTTGCACTGGGAGGGCAGAGGGGTAGAGAGTGACCCAATAATCCTCCCCCTTCTGCCTTCACCTTTATCATGATTTCATTTCTGATCTCATCCCTCCATGAGGTGTGGGGATTCTTTTTATTTTTTAAGAGACAATGTCTCACTTTATCACCCTCAGTAAAGTGCCCTGAAGTCACACAGCTCACAGCAACCTACAACTCCTGGGCTTAGGCAATTCTCTTGCCTCAGCCTCTCGAGTAGCTGGGACTACAGGTGCTTGAGGTGTGGGGATTCTTATACCCAGTTTACATAAAGGAAGCTCATATGAGGCTTAGAGACCAGCAATGGCATGTTGAAGATTACACTGGCTTTTGTCAGAACAATGACTAGAGCCAGGGCAATGCCTGCCCCCCAAAGTCAACACTGGTACTGCTGAGAGACACAGCACACCCTATGGGGCCAGGCACTGGGGATGCAGGCTGTGGACTCTTTCTCCTGGTGCCTGGCCACACTGGGGATCTTGACCAGATTCACCTTTCAGGAGCAGCCTCCCCAGGAACAACCCTCACTGTACCTCTCAACCCAAGTGCATGACCAGAACCACATCTGCTTGGTAGCCCCCACCTGTGAATTCTCAGTGACACCTAACAAAAACCTCTTATGTTGCTCAGGAGCATCAGTGGCCTTGGAAAAATCATTCCGTTGTAATATGTGGTCTGGATGGTCTCTGAGACCTCCCTGGCTCATGCTACTGCTCCTTACTTTTCATAGGCACCCATAGCCCACTACAACATTCTACCTAGGCCCAAAGCTAAAGCCTCCCTAAGCCCTGCCATATTGAGAATAGCTTCCCCTCCTCTCCAGGATGCCCTCAACCTGTGCTTCACAGCCCCCCACTACCCTGGGTTCCTTTCCGAATGTCTTTGTCCTCATGCCTTTTGGCTGTACTGTTCCCCCTGACTTTCAAGGTCCAGGCAAAAAATCATCCCTTCCATGAAGTTGTGCCAGATTCCCTAAGTGGGATTCTAGATCACTTGGAGACTCTGAGAGCTATGAGCGCTTTCTGCCTGGTGGTAATGTGATGTCTGTTTCCTCTCCAAGGCACTCCAAGGGAGCAAGGACTGTATTATTCTCCTCTGAAGCTTTAGAGCCTGAATCTTAGGGAGGGCACATTTTATCGGTATCAAACATCTGTGTTCCTTCCAACTCAGTCGGTTTTGAGACAATGGGGAAATTCTGAGCCTCTCTGCCTGTTTTCTAATCTGTGAAATGGGATTGTAGAGGGATTAAATAAATGTAAGCTGCTTAGCACAATGTAGGCACACAGTAGATTATAAAAAGAAGTGGTTATTAATACTAACAATTTAAGGGGACCCTGCTGAATAAAGTTCGGAGTCACATCAGTGATCGCCTCTGCTGGCATACCAGTAACCATACCGCAGCAGAAAAATCCCGCCCCCATCTCCCGATTGGAGGGATAAACAAAGGAGGCGTTGTGTGTCGGGTGACGCGCCAATCCCGAGGGGGCTCCTGCTGCGGCCCCGCCCTCACCGGAGACGTAGACGTCATTGCGGAGAGCACAGGCGGCAAACTCGGAGCGCGCGTAGCCGGGTAGGCTGGGCAATGGGATCCAGCGCTGGGTTTCTGGGTGGTAAGCATCGGCGAAGGGCAACTTCAGAAGACCTTTGCGGTCACAACCGCCGATGACCACGATCACTTCAGCTAGGTCCATGAATCTGGTGTGGGGATAAGCCGATGTCCGCTGACCCACACCCAAGTCGCGCCCCCCTCCTCCTAACCACACTGAACGGTCCTGCTGCCCTTCATGCCCGCCGGCTCCTCCCTCGGGATTCTGCCACTTCCAGCCTTCCCTCTGGCTACTAATAGGAAGAGCGTCACTAATCCCACCCCATTGTAATGACCTCTAACTTATAGGGAAAAAATCTTTTTGTTTTTTGTTTTGTTTTTGAGACAGAGTCTCACTCTGTCATCCTAGGTAGAGTGCTGTGGTGTCACAGCTCACAGCAACCTCAAACTCCAGGGCTCTGGCAATCTTACTGCCTAAGCCTCCCAAGTAGCTGGGATTACAGGCGCCTGCCACAACTCCGGTTAATTTTTCTATTTTTAGTAAAGACGGTCTCAGCTCTTACCCGGGGTACTCTCTTAACTTTTGAGCTAAGACAATCCACGTGCCTGGGCCTCCCAGAGTGCTAGGATTACAGGCTTGAGCTACTGTGCCCGGCCAAAAAAATCTATATATCTTTACGGAGCCCTTGCCCTTACCTAGAAAAATCACCTCCTTTAATCCTCACCACAGTTTTATTAAGTAGGGATTATTACTCCTTTCCCAGAGGAGGAAACTAAGGCTCACAGTCTATGGCTTGCTCAAAGCCATGCAGCTAATAAGTGCACAGGTTTGTCTAATGCTGACTCCTCTTCTTCAACACCCTTTTCTGGCCTCTATCCCCAACTGCTAATTCTGCTGCTTCTTTCCTCCTAGGATCATCTAAAGCCATCTCCCATCACGAATTCTATTGAACTAGACCACTCACCTCTTAAGCAAGGCATTCTTTCCTCCTACTTACTTCTCGGCCTTCTGACCCCAACAGAATTTCCAAAACCTTCTGTCGGTGTTTTTCTAATTTTTTTTAAACACACACTGAGCATCTTTGTCCCAGACTTTGTGCTTAATATTAGAGATATAGTGGTAAGACAGTGTCATCCCTGTCTTCTGTCCCTGGGGAGAGTGGTGACAGACCATCTTGGATTACTCCACCCACAGTGTCCCAGTCTGACATTCCAGGGAAGGGAATAGGTCTCTTGTTTTTGATTCCAATGTTCCTGCCTATTTATATATCTCACGAGCCTGTGAGTCCCAGAGAGCAAAGGGTATTTCCAAATCAACCCCAAGGACCAAAGGCAGGACCTCACAGAGTAAGCACTCGGATTATGGATGCACCAGCAAGAGAAAGAACGTGTGCCAGGTGCGGAATTCCCTACATCTCCCCCATTGGCCTCTTCAAGACCAGAATTCCCAGCACCAAGCCTAAAAAATGTTGAACAAATGACTGAATTTCACCAAGAGGCATGGCTAAGAGAGGAAAAGGTGGACGAAGAAATGAGTGAGTGGTTGAAGAACGCTGAAGAACGTAACAGGGTGCGGGTGGTTAGGAAGCAGCGGCCGTACCTCCGCGGCCGGGCCCGCAGCGTGCCGACCTCTCGGCCCAGGATGAAGCAGGCGCGGGCCTCCAGCAGCAGCGGGCGGCACTCTCTGCAGGCCTGCAGCAGCTCATCCGCTTCCACCTTCTCCATGAAGTAGGCTGGGGCCAGCAGCGGTAGTCGCACATGCTCCAGCAGGCGCCGCAGCTGCCCACGTCGGGCCGGCGCGTCGTGCCGCACCCAGCGCATGGCCGCCTCGAACACAGCCTCCTCGCGCGCCACGCCCAGCGCGGGGTCAGCCAGCAGCGCCACCACCTCGTCAGGCGCCAGCTCCAGGAAGTCGGCGTGTCTTGCCACCTCGGCGAAGGCTTGGCGCAAGACACGGCCGCAGCGCTCGGCCAGCGAGCTGAGCGAGAAGGCGGCGGCCACGCGGCGTAGCGCCAGGCTGTTAGTGGCGCGCAAGCGGCCCTCCAGGAAGCGCACGCAGTCCTCGCGCAAACCCACCACGCCCAGCCGCTCCGCCAGCGCCAGCACGGCGGCCGCCTCGTTCTCGGCGCGCAGCCGCACGCCCGCGCCGTACACGTAGTCAAGCACCACGGCCAGCGCCGCCGCTACACCGGCCGGCGCGGTACCCGGCGCCTCCGGCGCCACTGGCACCACGGGTACCACGGCCAGGCCGTGCTCCGGCCGCCCGGCGGCGAACAGGCTGCGGAAGTAGGCGCTGCCTGCGCTGAGCGCCGCACGGTGGCACGGGAAGTCGCGGCCGCCGGCGCGCAGCACTACGTCGGTGAGGGTGCCGCTCCGCCGGTAGGCGTTGAGGGTCTGCAGGACGCGCTGCGCGTGGCAGGACCCCGTGCACTGGGCTTCGCAGCCCGGCTCCGACTTCTCTGACCCAGGTGCCTCCCGCATCCTGCCGGGTAGAGAACACAAGTATAGTCGGGGAATCTACCTGGCTAGGGTCAAGTTAGGGGAGTGACCGTATGCATTTATTCCTTCCTTAGATGACTAGTTTACTCACGCGTGTATGCTTCCATAGATTGAACTATTCCTTCCACACACCTACCCAGATTCCTTGCAGCCACAGTGATCTAGCTCCTGTCTACCGGGCGGGCGCCCTGCGTCATTGGTTCTCCCTCGCTTTTTTATTCAGACACATTGCCTTTTTCTGTTCTTCAAATTCGCAAAGCTTTTGTCTGTCAATATCTGCAGGAGACAGATGGCCGGGTCTCAAATAGGGTAATTCGAGGAGAGACTAATAAAAGAACGATTTATAAACGGAGGCAGTGTTTAGGGACTCCAGCAGGGATAGAACAGTGCCACGTGGTTACCAACAGCAGGAAGCCTTTACCGCCCCAAGGTCTGAGCGGGGAGGGCAGGGAGGTTACTGAAACCTGGACAAAATATCTGTGTAGGGGAGGGTCCAGTGACGGGAGCTGTAGCCCTTGGTCAAAGGATTCAGGCTACTCCACAGAGACGGGAGATGCGGGGTGTGGCAGAGGACGGGGAAAGGGTAATGATAACTCATCTTTACTTAGTCCATACTGTCTCCTGCGGATATCATCTCAGGTTGGTACTTCCCATTGACCAAACCCTGATCACTCTAATTTAGAGCAGTTCTCAACCTGTGAGTCGCGACCCCTTTGGACTGTATTAAAGGTTCGTGGCATTAGGAAGGTTGAGAACCACAGATTAGAGTCTAATAACTGCCTCTCCCTCCACAGCACAGCATAGCACCATAACATAGTTGGTGCTCAGTTAACACCTGTTCCAAGTTGAGTGACTGTATTAAAACAAGTGTTTATTAAGAGCCTTTTCTGTGCTAGGGAGTGAGCATGACAATCACAGCCCCTGTCTTCCCATAGCTCACAGCTTGGCAGGGGCCCTCTGGGAAGTACAGAATCCTAGCGGAGCTCATAGAAGGGGCACTAAACCCAGTTGGAGGGAGGTCAGGGAAGATGTCCCTTCAAACTGAGCAGGATGGGTAGAATTGCCAAGTGAAGGGAAGGGGAGTGGAAGGTGGGTGTCAGCAGAGGGAATAATTTGTGTAAAGGCTCAGAAGACAGAGGGCAGGGAGTTAAGCCCAGGCTGAGAGGGAAGTTGGCCTCTCTCTAGTGAGTACTCCACTTTTCTCAAGGAGGCACCTGGAGAAGTGGAAAGAACTCTGTGGGCGAATGAGAATTCTAATCTTGTCTCTAACAGACTGACTGTGTGGCCTGGGCCAGTCACTCCTCTTTACCCACCTCACACCTGCCTCAGTTATTTCATGTGAAATGGTATCATAATTCCTACCTCACAGGGTAGCAACATATGAAAAGTGCTAGGTACACAGAAACTCAATAAATGTTTCCTTGCAACGTTCTTATTCAAGAGGAAGGGAGTACACTATGTGTGCTAGTTGCTTTTATGTATATAGCTTAATTTGACCGTGGCTACCTAATTTGACCCTCACAACCCTAGGAAGTCTTTTTAGAGCAGCCCTTCAGCTTCATTTACATTAGTAATAGGAAACAAGCACACAGAAGTCTGGCCTTCAGAGGTTTGTGACAAGGATCAGAGGAGAAAAGGCACTGTACCATGCTAGTTATGATTTGGCCATTATGAACATATACCTCTGCTTGCATACCTCCAGAGACAGAGAGCTGGCTCCTGTATGTGGCAGCTTACTCTAGGGAAGCTCAGATCCCCCCTCTGCCCATTCCTTCTCCCTGCATTCACCTTGTCCCAGCTGCTCTGCCACCTCAGGACATTACAACCAGTGTCAGCCTGGCTTTCACCGTTCATGCCCTGATCCCTACCTCAGCATCACAAGAACTGAGCTCCCTAGTGGACAACAAAGATCGATACTTTTGCCTAAGCAAAAGGGCTAAGACCTGAGCCCTGCTGGCTCTAGGGTCTGCCACATTTACCAGAGTGTCATGTCCCAAGGAGCAGCCCAGGACCAGCAGAAGGAGGTGAGACAGGTCAGCAGAGCATGCTACTCCCAGTCTGTTCTCCGCTGACCCAGAAAGCAGTCATGCTCTGAGCTGAGATCCAAAGGGGCAGGTGTCATCAGTACAGGAAGGCACTTCTCACAGAGGTGCCCCATGGCACAAGGGGCTCCTTAGGAGGAAGAGGGAGTCCCTCCTGAGAAGCGCACCTGTACTTTTTCATTCTTTCTACTTCTACCATGCTGGGTGCTGTGGACACACAAGGATGTCAGACCCAGTTTCCACCCTGAGGATTCCCAGTCTAGGGGCCAAAGGACACCCACTTGGAAGATGGAGTGTGAGCGTTCCTATGTAGGGCTCCCTGGGCATCCACCCACCTCAGTTGAGAGTCTAGGCTCCTCCAGCCTAGATACACTGGGTCCTGACACACACCAAGGGACTCTGCCTATAGACGTGGACTTGAGCATGCCCCCACCCTGGTGTATTTTTCACACTCACATCCACTCTCACCAACACAGGCTTAGTCCTGACACCGCGAAGCCTGGCAGCTCTGCGCCCAAGCCCTGCCCCAAGTTATCTGCTGCTTACCTGGCCACACCCTCTTCGCAGCTGCTGCTCTTGCAGGGACCTCTCCTGTCTGTGCCTGCCGCCCACACCCCTGGCAACCCAGACTCCAATGTCCCTGCTGCTCTGCCCAGACTCCTGCTCAGGCTCAGCTGTGGGAGGACAAAGGGGCTGGACGCCAGGGGGGAGGGGAAGGGAGAAGAGAGGGGGAGGGGGAGGAGGACATTGGGCTTTTGTTCCCACTTGGACTAGCCCTGGGAGGGAGGGAAGGCAGGAGGGGGTGAGAGTAAGCATGGGATTGAGTGTGTATGCAACTAAGGGGTCTGGTGTGGCTGGGATTGGGGGTAACCTAGTGCTGGCTGTGTCCCTGATGACGATGGATTTGAAGGTGTACATGGGGGGCATGTAATTATGTGGTTGTGAGCATGTAGGTGTTCCGGGTACCTACCTGTCAGTGTGGGAGTGCATGGAACAAAGTGTGTAGTGTTGGCATGGGGGTGTGTGACCGTATAGCTGTAAATGTGTGACTGCCACAGTGGTAGATCTTGGTTTCTTTCCCTCAGCCTGTGTGATTCTGTGCCATGCCTGCATTCCTGCTAGACAGCAGGTATGTTACTGTGGGAGTTTCATAACCTTGTCTCTATTCTGTGTGTTGGGATCTGTGTCTCTGGACTGTGTGTGTCACAGGGTGTAAATGTGTGTGAGAGGGAGATGGTGTGAGTCAAGGTGGTGTGTGGTCCTTGAAGGGGCACAGTGGTTCTGGGTCTCACTCACTCCCTTGTCTAGGGGGAAGTGGGAGCTGACTCTGCCCCAGGAAGGGAAGCACTGGCCAGAGATTCAATATTGGGGCATGGAGAGTGAACCCCTCACCTCCCGGAGGGATGGTCCTCAAGGCTAATGTTGGGGGGCAGTATAGATTCTAACATTTGGAGGGGGGGCTCTTCCTTTCCTCCAAGAAGGTGCCAGACTCTCTCAATCCTTAAGAGTTCTATCCTGAAGACCTGTGTCTCTGTTTGGAGAAGAGACACATCCCTTGGCTCCAGGAAGCAAGGAGTTAATTGAATTCAGGCCAAAGCCGGGATTCAACCTCTTCCTTCTCCCTTAGGACACACCTGAGGCCATGCTGACTGCTGACCCTCTGGACAAAGGTCAGAGTTATAGGCCTGCCCTGACTCCACCACTGATCCCTTCCCACAGAGGGTAGAGGGCAGATCCCCAAGGACTAAAAGCCAGGAACAGACACCTGTGGTCCCAAGGCTGCATTGTGCTGGGCATGGGGGTGAGTCCACCCCAAAGCCCTGAGAAATCAGAGCCAAACTCCTGCCACTGGGAAGAGGCATCTGGGCTAAGGGCTAGTCCCTCCATAGTCCCAGGGCTCAGGCGCCTCCATGTGGCCATGAAGGGATCTACCACTCCCATTCCCCAGCCCTACATCAAACCCAGCGTGCCCTTCCTAGCTGGTGTGGAAGGCACACATTGCACTGGAGCCAGTGTCTGGGTGGGATTCAGGCTTTTCTGGTTCTAAACTGTGTGGCCTTTACAGTCACTTTACCTCTCTGAGACAGTCTTCCCATCCACAGTATGACACTGGTTCCCAGCCCCACAGCTGTTAAAAGAACCCCTGGCATCAGGCTGATGCAAGGTAGGGCCTCAATCCATCCTGCCACTTTCCCATTAATTTCTGAGAATGATTCCTCCTTAAATCATGAGGCCAAAACTGAATCCTAAACCCAGCATGCTCTGTCCCTACCCTCCTGCTGACAATTCAGAGGGACGACACACATCAAGATGGCAGCTTTAATCATTGTGGCCAAGGCCCTTAGGGTATACAGCAGGGGTATACACCCACCCTTGACTATGCCCACATGGCTCCTTCCCTGTGGCCACAGATGTGGGAACCTGAGGTTGCAGCAGTCTGTGGATCTCCGAAATGCCCCAGAGGCCTACTGGACACTTAGGCATGAGATCGAGCAGCCCTAAACTTGCACTTCTGGCCAGGTCTAGCTGCTCCTAGAGGACATGGCTGGGGTCCTCTCCTAGGACAGGGGGCCAGCAGTGGTGAGAGGCTGATCAGGCAGAGGATGTGTCTCCACCACCTCATCTGGCTTTCCTCCTGGGCCGAACCTCCTTGTGCTTTGAGACTATGGGAAGAGTAGAGCTGCTTCAGGTAGAGGCCCAGTCCAAGCTCTTGGGGCAGGATAACAATAGAGAGGTCAGTCGTGGATAGACAGGAGGACGGACACATGTGGGCATCCACCTTCTCCATGGCTACTGGGGGCAGGCATGGCCCAGTAACCCATCAAAACTTCCAGGTCCAGATGCTAGGGAGGGCCGCTGGAGAGGGGCCAGACCTCAGGCCCCACACTTCCCAGAAGGAGCCCCAGGCCTGCTGGGGTGTCTGAGAGGCAAGAGTCCTGGCCCAGGTAGGCCTCAGGTGAGAGGGGACCCCCATCCAAGAGAGGCCATGGCTGACAAGGTGCTTGAGCCCACAAGGCTGCCGTGCAGCCAGCTCCGATAATGCTCCGAGTCCAGACACGCTTCTGCCAGCTCTCCTGGGTTCCCGGTTTCTATGTTAGGTACAGGTTGGGACAGGCAGGTCTTAAGCTAACGCCCACTCCGGTCTGTGAGAGTCTTGGTGCGGCTGCCACCCCCTCGAGGACCCACAGGAGTGGTACTGCTGTTGCCATAAGTGTCGTAACTGTTGTCTGAACATACGGAGAGCTCATCAGAGACCTCCACGCCATCGCTGATCTCTGTTGGGCCAGAGGGAGACAGAATGTGAATTGAGGGAGGGGAAGGCATGAGGATGTCTGGCAGATGGGGCATGAAGGATGGCCTGTGACCACATCAGTGGGTCCTTGGGAGCTGATGAGACCACTGGGGTCAGGTTGGTATTAAGCCTGGCACTCAGGCCCCTTGGTCTCTGCTGAGCCCTCTGGCCCTGCTATAGTTTGCTATTTCTGGAACTCCACCTTCCAGCCACAGAGAACCCTCTGGCATGTGTGAGTGTGGCACCCACATGTTTACTCTCTGTAGGGCCTTTGCACATATTAGCCTGTCTCTTGGTAGTGACCTCCCTATCAATACCTCCTAAAATCTAGCTCAAGTCTCCTCATTCCGTTATTTCAGACTCCTGGAAGCCTCTGAGTGCCCCCGACTGGGTTGGGATCTGGGCACTATGTCCCCAGTGCCTGGCAGAGTGCCCAGCTCAGCCCTAGGGCAATGAACAGAGACTCAGTAAAGGTTCGCTGAGTGGAGCTCAGCCCCATGGGGTGAGGTTTCGCTCTTAGTGCCCAGTGCTCTCTCGCCACCTCTGAGCACACTCTGCCCCACGTGGAATGCCTTTCCTTCCATCGCTCACCCAGCCCCCACCTTAAACCCGAGACCCAGGCACCTCCTGCCCATCCTCCACACCTCAACACGTCAGTCACTCAAAACCTTCCTCACTGCCCCAGGCAGTTCTGCCCCCTCTCTGTGAGAACTCTATTTGCCACGTCTCTGTTTACATAGCTCCTCCTCCTCCAAACTGCCAGCGCCCACAGGGACTGGCAATGAACAGGAGCAAGACCAATATTTGTGGCATCTGTGTGTGAACCAGGCAAAGAATCATGGGGCTTCAAAACAGACTCCTTCCCCACCCCAGCCCCCACCTCCCCTTTGCCCACCAAGCACAGCACTGACACAGAGCCACAGGGTTTCTGTATGGTGGTGTGTGCGCCTTCGTGTGTGGTGGGTATAAACCCAGATAGGGTGGTGCACGTCTGTACCCGTGGGCCTCCCTGCATGTGCTGCATGTGAACATGTGTGCATGCACATCCGTGTGCACACATCGAGTATGAAGAGCTGAGCCCTCTGCCTGCCTCAGCTTGTCTGCAGGGCTGCACACCTGAGAAGATGAGCTTCTCCTTCATGATGCTGACGTCCCGGCTGGCCCGGCGCACTGCGGCGCTCAGCATGATCTGCTCAGGGTTGTAGCTCCGTATGCCACCCAGGCGCCACCTGCAGAGATGGCCCCATAGGCATCAAGTCCTTCCCCACACCTTTCCTGGAACAGGGATCCTACCCACTTCCACAGGCTCTCTGGATGTGGCCTGAGAAACCAGCAGGGCTCTTGTCTCTCTGTATAAATGGGGAAACTGAGGCCCAGAGAGGGTTGGAGCTGGGGCTTGAACCAGAGCCTAGTGAATTTTAACCTAGGCTGTCTTGCTTCCTCTCACTTCCACAACCCTAAATCAGCAGCTCTATCCCAGGATCAGAGTTCTGTCTCAGGTGACCCTGGCTTTCTTTGGATGGGACAAATTTGGGGGCAAGAGGAGCTTAGCAGGAATGAGTCTGATGACCTCCCGGGCGTGTACACCAACCTGAGGGAGCACCAGGTGAAGTCTCCTATAGCTCCACAATGATGACCAGGCTGAGTGAAGCCAGAGGGGAGACCCCAGGAAGGAAAGGAAGGAAAGCAGGGAGGTAGGGGGAGGTGTAGGGAGGCTTTGCCCAGAACTGGTCTTCACAGGTTTCTGAGGGAAGGGTTTAGAATGACATGGGGCAGGGCTGTCCATTGCTCTGTCTCAGCAACCCTAGTGGGGAGGGACAGTTCAGAGCCCTCATCCCTCTGATGGCTCAGACAAATACAAGGCTGGGGTGTGTACAGGGTATGCAGGGACCAGGCACCGAATGGGGAGGACTCAGCTTCCCATGCCCAGGCCAGGGTACTGTGTCTGCTGTTGTTCCTCTGAACTGGCCCCACATCCCTAGCCTCTGAACTTAGACTTTTCCTGGGGTCTAGGTGGCAGGGTCTACTAGACCCCCAGCCCTATCCCCAGGAAGAGGAGGAGGTGGTTAGCTTGGAAATAAAAATGCAACCCCCCAGGGAGTGAATCCTGCTCGGGTGGGAGGAGGGAGCTAAGACTCCATAAGAAACCAATGGCAAGTTTCTAGATGGGGTCAGCGCAGCAGAAATGGACAGACAGGTGGACAGGCAGACAAATGGATGAACAGAGCAGACAGAGAAGGGGAAAGCAGTGCTCCAGCAGGGCTCCTGCCCTGTGAATCCTCGAGGGCAGTGATTGCATCTTATTCATCACTATGCCCCTAGCACCAACATCAATGCCTGCCATTCACAGGTGCCCGGCAGGTATTTCTGAGTGAATGAATGGAATAAGCCCACAGGGGATGATATTCTCTCCCTCTTTGTCCCCCAAGGTCCATCCTCTACCAGGCCTCTCCTGATCCCCAGGAGACAATGGCACCACCCTGGCTGTGTCTGAGCAGGGCTGGGATATCTGTGCCGGCTCCTGGGATCATCACAGGGCAGCCTGCCCAGCACACTGGCAGCTCCATGTGAGGAAGCCTGATCCCGTGCTGCAGGCCCAGCACCGGCCAGCACGTGTAGATGTCTGTCGACTCAGTGGAGGAAGGAGTGACTGGGTAAATATCTCTTTTCTGGGCTCATTCCCACAGCCAGGGAGCACTGTTTCTCCTCTTAGAGGCTGGGTGGTGACACTGTCTGACTCTGAAGGGCCTAAGGCACTTGACCAAGGGGGACCTGGATTCCTAAGCTCTAGATCCTAATCTCTGATCTTGGAAATTAACACTAAAATCCAGAGGGAAGGTGTCAAGCCCAGGTTTCTGGCAACCAGAACATCCAGAACAGGAAGATTAGCCATTGCAGGGTTCCCTGGGGAGAGGAGGAAAAGGCAGAGGAGTTGGAGTGGGAGTCAGAGGCAGGATGTGACGCAGGGATAGAAAGAGATGAGAGAGACACAGAGGAAGATAAACAGAGCATGAACAATGGGAGAGGAAAACCCAGAGAGGGAGAAGATGGGAGGAGAGACGGGAACTTGGTAGAGTGTGCAGAGGGCAGGTGCTGAAGGCCCCTGTGAGTGCCAGACGCAGAGGGGTGGGGTGCCCAGGCAGGGTCCCTTCCCCAGAGGGAGACACTTTGGTGCTGAGGCCAGGTCAGGAAGCTGACAAGGAAACGCTGGTCCCATCTGCAGAAACTGCTGTAGGAACAGAGCCCAGAGGGACACACAGGTCAGATGGCTGCAGGGGCTGGGAGGCTTCAGGCAAGGGAAGGTGTCCGCAAGTGTGACCCAGGCACGGGGCTTGGTGCACAGCAGGTTTTCAGACAGCACTGAAGAAGGGGGTGGCAAGAGGGAGAGAGAGGAACAGGAGGAGGAAGACCACACCAGAATTACCTGATCAAGTGATAGCTGTGAGATGCCAGAGTGCAGCAGAGAGAGGGGGTGGGGAGAGGAGGGACATGCGCCGGATCAGAGCAGGATGGGACAGAGAGAGAACGTCAGTCAAGAATAAAACTCCAGCCCCTTGGTTGTGGCTGAGTGGGGCCCCGGGCTGGCCCTGAACCCTCCCCAGGACCAACCACACCTCCCACTGCGACCCTATCCCAGCTGTCTTGCTTGGGTCTGGGAGGTTTTCAGTGTGGCAAGTGCTGGTGGGACCCACCCTGGCTGCCAAGGTGTGCAGCTGGGCCTGGAGATGGGTGGAAATTCACCTTACTCCACATAGCAAATCGCAGCAGTTTGGCTCCAGGCTTCCAGCTTGGCCTTTATTCCAGAAGCCACCTCGCCTCTGGTTGAGGGGAGCGTGGGGCTACTGGGAGCCCTTCCTACTCCCCTGGTCAGGCCTGGCAGAGGGCCCAGGGCTCAGGGGCACAGTCACCTGGTTGGGGTAGGGAAGCCCATGAAAGGGGTCAGAGCCTACTCACTTCTGGAACACGAAGATGCCAACGATGAGAGTGAAGGAGATCAGGTCGGTGGTGACCCACATGAGACAGTACTCGTCCGGGGCCTGTGGACAAATGGCCGAAGCCAGTTTCCAGTCATGGCCAGTCCAGACTGAGTGAGTATTCATGGGTTGGAGAATCCCACATGACCACTGGGGAAGGGCAGGGGAGGACCTTGAAGGGGCTTGGCAGTTTAAGATTATATTTTTTAGAAGTGGGCTTTGGGTAGTGTCTGTGTATGTGCGTGTGTGTGCGATCAGGGTAGGAGAGATCTGTATGGTGCTCTGGGGATAGGTGGTGTGTGCTGGGGGGTTTCTTTGCTTAAGATGGGCTCTGAGCTGAGGGCTCATAGCAAGAGCCAAGCAATAAAAGGCAGATACATGAATGTGAGGATGGCACAGGACTAGCAGGTGGGCCTGGGACCTATGACCAGGCATGTGGTTATCTGTGGGATAAGTACACATGTCACCTTGCAAAGACCAGGGACATGGAGTGAGGGGCCAGGCCAGTAGGCCCATGTGCAGCCTTCCATGCAGCCTCCCCAGTTTTAGGCAAAGGTGGGGATGGGGCAGGGGTGGGGGTCTGCTGGTCAACTCCTGAAAATTCCAGTGTGCTCATCAGTGCTGCCACAGTCAGTGAGTTCTTTCATGTCACTCTGAGTGGAGCCTTCAGAGGTGTTTAAGGATGAAGGGCAGGTAGAAGGACTTCAGAATGCTGAAGGGGTCATGATGAAGTCTGGCACCCACTGCCCTGGCCAATGTCCTCTCCCCCTCCAGGCCCCTCTTGACTTCTCCCCCTTTCCCCAGGTTCCACCCTCCTCTCCACATAACCATCTGTGGGTCAGATCCAATCATGGGCACAGGCACCCTCTTAGCCACAGGAGACCTTCCACCTGCTTCTATGTCCTTGGGGAGGTGGCAGCAGAGCTACAACCCCACTGATCAGACAGAAAACAGGGCCCAGGAGCACAGGGCACATGGCCTGAGTGCGGGTGCTCAGTGAGCCAACTAGACATGGCTTTACTCTGTTCCCTGAGCTGATTTTAACACTCCCAATTCTTGTCCTGTTGTCACTCTCTTTTTCCAATGAGTTCCTTTCTTTAAAACAAAATATAATAAACAGCAACCCCCCAAACCAAAAACTCCAAGCAGTTATTTACTTCTCCAAGGCCCTTTAGTGGGATTTTTCTCCCTGTGGGCGAGGCCCAGTATCTGCCAGCACTCTGGTGCAGATCCCAGAGGTCATGCAGTCCCCCTACCCGACCACAGACTCTCCACCCAAGACCCCACCAGGGGTCACCAACACAGAGCTTGCTGAGTGGGCCGCAGGCAGCTCTCAGCTCTGCCCCAACACCCTCCCAACTCACCATGATCCAGAGTGGGGAAGGCACCTGGGACAGGGTATGGGAGTTGTCAGACGTGACGGATGGGACCCTCGCACACCACAGCAGGGAGAAGAGCCACGGTGCATTGACTGTGTAGAGGTTCACACTTAAGTTCCAGGATGCATAGTCCCTGGGGTGGGGGGAGGCAGAGGGACAGAGGCAGATCAGCTGTGGACTCACTGTGCCACTCCAGGCACAGTGTGGGAAGCTGGTAAATTATGTTCCCTTCATGACCTCATGTCACCCTCACAGCTGACACTGGAGGAAGGACTGTCTGCTCCAGAGGGCCAAGCTCACCTATAAGCCTGGGTCTGCCCTACACACTCTACCTCTCATCCCTGTCTGGCTGTGCAGGGGTGACAGGCCTCAGGGAGGCTCAGTTCCCTCTTCTGGGTGAACTCAGGGCAGGACAGGGTAGGATAGGCACCTGAGCTCCTGGCCGGACACCTGAGTATAGCGCAGGTTCAGCCACTGGATGTGGCCTTTGCGCAGGCTGGTGACAGTCTCCTTGGAGCCTGAAGTCTGCTGGAAACCAGGAGCCACTTTTCGCACGAGGGGCCTCTGCCTGTTAGGCAGCCACATGACCTGCAGGCAGGAGAGGAGGTGGCCTCAGAATGGGGTAAGAGTACCTACCCGTCTTGGAATACCTGTAAGGGTTAAAAGAGATGGGACCTGACACGAGGTGAACGCTCAGAATACAGTCATTAGTAGAGGATGAGTTGGGAAGTGCCCTGGCACAACTCAGGAAGCTTCCCTTCTGGACCATTGTCACAAGATGGACAACCCATTCACCCCTGACTTTGCACTCAGGGATACACTAGCGTGCTGTCCTGAATATGTATCTGATTTCTCTGGTCCCAAATTATTCAACCATAGTGATGTGGGAAATGCTTCACTGAAACGTTTCCCACATCACTACAGGACCTGGATCTGCTCCCATCCTTTGTACATTTAAAAGGATTTTTTATTCCACTCTTGTCGCCACAATGACCCTATCAGGGAGGTGAGGGGCACACAACCTCATTTTATAAAAATGAAAACAGCAGTCTGAAGCGGGGACAGGGTAAGCTTAATGGGAGCTGGGTTCTAGCTGGGCCAGGGCCTGCGGGGGCCTCACCTGGTGCTGGGGGAAGCCAGAGCGCAGCACAGCTTCCAGGGTGACATTGAGGAAGCTGCTGCGGTAGGGGTGCTCCCGGGGTGGGTCTCGCAGGTTGAGCAACAGTGTGGCATTGCCCTTGGCCAACTCCAGGAGCTCCGCCAGGCTGCAGATGGACTGGTTCTGGGCCTCCTTATGGTCGGAGGGTGACAGGGAGCTGGCCGTCCAGAAAGGGTCAGTCTGGCAGGGACATACATGGCTATGTCACCAGCCCTTTGGGGCCCCCACATGTCTTCCTGGCAACCATGCACAGAGACCCCTGGGCTGCCAGTATCTGCTCGTGTGTGTTTTAGGCAAACTGATGGCTGTGGCCCTGTGGGGGCTCTAGAAGCCCCTAGTCTTGACCTTTCTATTCCACACCCTGCTCACTGAGAGGACGACTTGCTTGGAATGTCTCCCAGACCCCAGCATGGTTCTCCTTTAGTGGCATGTCAGACTAGGGAACCAACCTCTCTCTAGAGTTTTATAGAGTTAGTACTTCTATTAACTGTCGTCACCAACATGCTTTTTCAGGAAGGGAGAGGGATCCAGAACAAGCCATGACAACCATGAGATGAGGTGGCAGTGACAGGAGCCCACAGGAGGGAGGGCCTGGGCTCCCTGGCTGTAGGTCAGGGATAGTCTGGAGTCGGGCATCACCAGAGCTATGGCTACCCCTGGATCTCCTACTCCTTGGGCCCCCTGTCCATGTTTTCCAAGCCTCAGACTGCATTGGCATAGCCAGACCTTCAGGAACCACTGGCCAGCATTAAGCCTCTGCAGGGTGGTCCAGTTGAGCATGGAGGCAGGCCTGCGGGCCAGTTCCGGGAACTCCTCTTCCACGTTGGTGGTACGGCGCAGGGTGGCATCGTGCATGAGGAAGGGTACACCATCCAGGCTGCATGGAGGGGAGGCCACTGAGTCACCACCCACAGGCCTCTTGCCTGCCCACAAGTGATCCCCCCTCCTCCCCATCCAGCATGGGATCCACCCCCCCTGAGCCTCAGGCTCCCCATCTGCACAGGGAGGACAATGGGCTGGTGGGTGACCGCTCTGGTTCTCTATGATGGTCAGATGGGACTGATGAGAAGAAAGGACTGAGAAAGGTTGGGTTTATCCTCTTAGCAACCTTGGCAGGTAGGTGCTACCTCCCTTCATTTGATATTGGGGAGAATGAGGCTAGGAGAGGAAAGTACCTTGCTCAAGGCCTACAGCCTGTAAGTGGTGGAACCTGTCTTGGAACAAAATCCATGTGATGCCATAATGAGAACAGTGCAAATGCAGGTCCCCTAGACAAATTACATCTCTACCTTCACCACCATTCATGTCTACCCCACCAGGGCTGTCAATAGCTCATGTCACCTTAATGTGAAACAGTAAAAAATTCTGTGCCCATTCTCCAAAGCATTTTTACCACCATCTGCTCCTAAGTTGTGATAAATACACAATTCTGTGATGTCTGCACTATGAACAGTGTCCTCACACATGTATGTGATAACCTTGTTCAGTACACAACCTGTGCAACCACATATGGCAGCCCTGCCCTCCTCCCTTCTCAGAGATAACCTCTGCTATGAGATTAGTGTGAATGGTTGTTCCTGCCATTTATGCTAATATACACGTGTATATCTACATGTAGAAAATATATGTACCACTTGTGTGTGGTCTTTAAAATATAACTGGCATCACAGTGAATGTATCATTTTGCCCTTGCACATTTTTCTCATCAGAGTGTTTGAGCTCTATCATGCAGAGGCACAGAGATCCAGATTTTCTTTCAAGTGGGTCCATGGCAGGGCTCCAAGTCCCCATCCTCCACCCTTGCTGGCATCAAGAGCTTTTCTTCTTTCCTCTATTTTATATCCTGGAATTTGTCACAAGATTCGTTTGCACAAACAGGCTGCCTGCCTTGCTGTGAATAATCCAGGTCTCCACGCTCCCATCTCAAAGGCTCTGAGAACAGAGATTTGGCCAGCAGGGACTGGATGAGAATGCCACTTGGGTTAGAGGTGCTGTTTTCTTTCTTTTTTTTTTTTTAAGAGACAGAGTCTCACTTTATTGCCCTTGGTAGAGTGCTGTGGCATCACAGCTCACAGCAACCTCTAGCTCCTGGGCTTAGGTGATTCTCTTGCCTCAGCCTGCTGAATAGCTGGGACCACAATGCCCAGCAATTTTTTGTTCCAGTTTTGCCAGGGCCAGATTCAAACCCGCCACCCTTGGTATATGGGGCTGGCACCCTACCCACTGAGCCACAGGTGCCACCCTAGAGGTGGTTTTCTTCCCCCTCACACTTACCTGATAGTAATGTCAGCCTGGAGTCCATACAGTTTCTGCTCTAGGGCCTTCCGGAATGACATGAGTGTGTGCTCTGGAGCCAGCTGGGGAGGAAGAGGCGGGGAGAGGAGGACCAGGATTCAGCTGATGAACCTTCCCTGGTAACAGAAAGCCTTCCACACTGGGAGGCTGGGCTGGGCCTGATTCTAAATCTGGCTCTTCCGCAGAGCAGCTATGTGCCCTGGGCACCTGCTCAGCTTCTCTTATGTTCAGTTTCCTCATCTGTAAAATCATGTCTACCTCACAGGGGTTTCTGTGGGGTGGGGAAGAGAGAGGTGAGTAGTGCTGACGTATATAAACGCCTGACATATAGCCAGCACTTCAGAAATAGTAGCTGTGATCGTTACATTGTCATTGCTGTATTCCAGGCATGGAGCTAGACACTGGGGTGGGAGGACATTTGTACAGTCCTCTGTGGCAGCCTCAAGCTGAGGCTGAATGTGAAATTCCCTCTTAGTTATACCCCGAGGCAAGTCCAGATGGAGATCCTGGAGGGAGAGGAGAGGGTAGATGGATGGTAGTTTTAGTGGGGTGACTGGCTTCCTCATACATAAAAACAATACCATCTCCCTCCCTGGACTGTTACATGGATTAAAAGCCCCCTAGCACATTGTCTGACACATCGGTAAACGCTTAATAAATGGAGATTGTTAATTCTACAGCATATAAATCAGATGATCCTGGTTCTAGCTGTGACTCTGCCATTACCTAGCACTGTGACTGTGGGTGTATTTCTTCCTCCTGTGGACCTCGTTTCCCCACCTGCCTCTTGGGGCTGTGTACCTCTGAGGCTCCTTACCATTGGGAGAGTTGGGGCTCTAAGTCTCCTTCCCAAGCTCCATCTGATCTGAGGACCCTGTCCTACCCTTTTCAGCCACTAGGGGTCAGCACCAAACCAAGGATTGGGCTAAAACCAGGTGCCTGTGAGGTGGGGAACAGAGAGAGGGAGGGACGGAGGACCCCTGACAGCAAAGAAATGGGGTGAGAATCTCATACCTCCACACCCCAGGCCATGCTCATTCCCACCTTTTCTCCCTCCGGTTATGGTGTTTCCTAACTGTGACACATTCCCTCCTCTGAAAGGAAGCCAGGGAGGGAATGATGAGGTCTTTGGAGTTCCTTATGAAGGAGCAATTCCATTTTGCCCTCACCTATCTGGGGCCTCAGTTTCTTTAGTTATAACACGAGCTAATATCATCAACCTCACTGGTGAGATGACAGATGTCATCCCAGAACCTGGCGCACAGTAGGTCTCTGTAATGAGTTCCCTTCTTCTCCTTTCTCAGCACAACGCAGCCGTGGGGGACATACTACCTGTCTCCTAGTCCGGTTGGCTGTGTGAGGCCCCCAGAGGAGGAGTGGGACCACAGAGGCACAGAGAGGAGCATGGACTCAGTGGAGTTCACACCTGTCCCTCTTCCAAATGTCCTGTGGCCCAGCTTCTCCCCAGTGACCACACAAGAGGTACCAGGGCTCCCTTCTGCATGGGGTGGGGCTGCAGAAGGTAGAAGCTTGGAAGGGGCTATGAAGACCCCTTGGGAGAGGGAAAGTCTTTCCTGGAAGCTTTTCTATATAGCTAAGATTTCCCTGGGTTAGGTGCTGGCCTCCTTGGAGAAAGGTATAGAAACCTGGCCCTCCTTGGCCAGACTCAGGGCTCTAGGAAGGCCCCAGAAGTATGCATGAATTCTTAATCCTCACCTCAGTGCTCCTACCTGCATCGGGCAATTCCAAGAGGGTTGTGTTGTCAGGAGTGTGTGCATGGGGTGGGGGTGCTACTCAGGTAGGCAGGACACTGTGGTTGGAATCCCAGCTTTGGAGTTTGTCCAACCCAATATTAAATTACACATAGATGAACACACACATGTACTACACACAGCATGTCTGAATAGGAGTAAAATATCCGGGGCACACACATAAGTTTCTAAGACAGAAACGTGCACTTGGTCTTACCACACGCAGATATATGGACCTAGAGTCAGAACCAGCCCCCTCTAGGTAATCATCTGAGGGCTACATGTGGATAAACACAGGTATAGACATCGATACACATGTATCCACAGGGATGCACACACCAGGCCCTTGGCAGCACCTCAGAAACCACCACCAGGATGAAATCAGCCAAGTGTACAATGTGAAAAATTCTATAGGACAAATGACTCAGTTTCTTATAAACAACATAAGGAATTAAAGGGAGAGGGAGTGCTATGGAGTAAGAGATAACTTGGCAGACATGTTAACCAGATGTACTACTCAGACCTCATTTTGTTCTTGATTTTTTTTTAGAGTCTCACTGGTAGAGTGCCATGACATCATAGTTCACAGCAGCCTCAAACTCCTGGGTTCAAGTGATCCTCTTACCTCAGCCTCCTAAGTAGCTAGGACTACAGGCATGTACCCCATGCCCAGCTAGTTTTTTTCTTTTTCTTTTTTTCTATTTTTAGTAGAGATGGGGGTCTCACTCTTGCTCACACTGGTCTCAAACTCCTAAGCTCAAGCAATCCACATGCCTCAGCCTCCCAGAGTACTAGAATTACAGGCATGAAGGCATTAGCTACCGTGCCTGGCTGGAATCTTGATTATTTTAACAAGTGAATTATAAAAATGTATTTTTGAGACAACAAAAAAAATCAAACATGATTCAATATAAGATAATCGAATTACTGTTAATCGGTTCAGCATAATGACAGCACTGTGATTATGGTTTGCTTTACTACTGCAGGAAAAGGCAAGTAGGGAACAGATTAGGCAAGAATGGCAAAATGTTGATAAATGTTGAAGGTGGGATTGGATTCGCTGCGCTGCTCTTCAGTATGTGTCATTATACTGCTTTTTCTACTTCTGCGTATGTTTGACATTTTTCTATTAAAGAAAACCATCCATGTTGGGACCACTTCACTCTCTCCCCTTCCTCCTCCTCTTGCGTCATCAGCACACTGCTTTTGCCCCTGACCTCTGAGTCATGGAGAAAAGAGGAGCTATATCTTCAGCCCCTGAGAAGGGAGCCCACCCCTACCCCCAAGCTTGGGCCCACTGCCCGGGAAGGCCACGCGTCTAATCCTTCTAACTTCACCTCATAACAACTAGTAGTGTGGGCATCAGTAACCCAGAGGCAAAACTGGACCCCAAATCCATATCCCAGCTGGCTGCCCCTGGGAGGTGCTGAAGCTGGGGACAGCCTGGGTTTTATTAACAGGAGGTGCCGAGGTCCAGCACAGGGGCTAGAGTCTTCTCTAGAAAGTAACACCTACCATGGACAGTGGAGACTCTGGGAGGACTCACAGCCATGCCAGATTTGACATGTCCTTTTATACCTGCTACCTGGTGAGGGCCCCTTTAGCACCATGAAATCCAGCCACACTATGGGACTCTCGGCAGGGACCAAGATCCCAGGAGGTCCCCAAACATCCCCTAGGGGCCATGGTTGGTACTGCCTCTGTTGAGAAACACGGGATCAAGGCTATGGTGGGTGAGGATACCCTGGTCCAGAGAAAGGGGCTGATCCAAGGCCACAATAGTGTCCAACTTGTACTTTCTGTGTGCCACATGCCTATCTGGGCACTTCATATGTGCCAAATCCTGCTTCTCACAACCCTGTGGCAGGTACTCCTGCTACTTCCGTAGTACAAGATGGGAAACCAGAAGACATGGAAACTGTCTGGGCTCCCACAGCTGTGAGGGGCTGAGCCAGGATTCCAACCAAGTGGCCTTGCAGCCTGTCCTCTCAAATGAAGCTCTTCTGCAGGGTCACGGACACCTCAGTGGCAGAGCAGGGTGCTGGCTTCCCCTCCTTCCCCTGCTCCCACTCAGTCCCATTCAACTGTCTTTACTCTGGCAGAAGTGAAGGCCTCTGCACTGCCTCCCACTCTCCTGCCCCACAGCCCGGCAGGCTCTCCTGCTGCCTGGTCACGTTTCCTGGGCCCACACCCAGCACTTCCCCCTTGGGCCTTCCTACTTACAACCAGGTCTACCCAGGCCTAAATCCCTCCTGCATCTCTGCAGGGCACTCAGAACGAAAGTGAAATCTTTTGAGCAGGATGCCTTCTGGACTCTTCAGGATTTGAAGAGCTCTCTGGCCCTTTTCACCAATCCTTCCCATATATCTCTCACAAAAGAGCTACACTCCGTTGCTGTTAATTGCATACATCAGATTCATTTCCCAGCAAGGCCCTCTCCTCAAATAGCAGCCACACCCTGCATCCCGACATCTGTTAGGACCCTCGGGGGTACTCACCATGGGGGCCCCGCGGTGGCCAATGAGGGCAGGCTTGGGGCCTAGGTCCTTTTTCTCCATGATGCAAGGAGAGGAGATGGTGAGAGGCACCAGGTAGAGGGCAAACACCACGGTGAAGAAGGTACAGAGAATAGTCACCTGGGAAGCTGAAGACACAAGGCTGTGAGTGCTGCCTCCTGGGAAGCCGCCACCTCCTGCTAGGCCCAACCATGAGCCCCGGGCAGGTTGCAGGTGGGATGCTGGAGCCCTTTACCCTCTGTCTGTCAAGACCCAGGTGTGCAGAGGGGCAGCCCTCCTTCTTGCTGGGAAGGTGAGCCCCACCTCTAACTCATGCACACAGAGACATGGTGGAGGACTGAGGCTGCAGCTTTCCATGGGGTCCCTCTGCACCAGAATCCCCTAGGCTGAGTGAGGGCTACGTCATCCCCGGGTCTCCAAGGTAAAGTGCAGGTGAAGGCAGCACAAGCTGGCGTGGCACTTGCAAGGGTTGGGAGAAGCCATACTCACAGGACCTCTCTGCACGGGCGAACTGTCCTGCCACAATCCAGGAGAGCATAGTGACTGCAGCCAGGGCCCCCACATGCAGGAACGGGGCTGTGCCCTAAAGTGTGGGAAGAGGTAAAAGGACTGGTGACTCCCACCCACGGCCAGACCCTCTGGTCAGCAGAGTTCTCATGGCCTACCTCTATACCTCAGGGCAGCCAACCCTGTCTCCAGGGCCACTGAGAACACTGGGAATCTCAAGACCCAGGCTTGTAGCATCCTCCCTGCCTCTGACCTGCAGTATAACCCTGGGCCCCTTCCTGCTCCTCTCTGGGCCTTGGTCTGGAAAAAGGGGAAAGATGGAAAGGTACTTCCTTGTTGCAAGCATCCTGGGGGAGCAGCAGTAGCCCTCCCCCTGCCCTGCTTACCTGCAGGGAGATCAGCAGCACCTCCCACTCGTCCTCCCACAGCTGAGCCACAGCTGACATGGCCACGACTGTTGAGGCCAGGATGACCACCAGCCCTATCTGGAAGGGGAAGAGTCACCAGACAGAGGGTCAGAGCATGATCCCCAGTGTGTCTGAGAGGGCCAAGGGGAGACTGAGAGACAGACATGGGGGAGATGGAGGGAGTGGAGAAAGGTGGACCCAGCGGGGCAAGGGGCCGGAAGAAAAGAGACAGGCATGAGCTAGAAGGAAGCCAGGGACAGGCAGACAAGATGCTAGGGAGAGACTGAGGCAGGGGGAGGCTGGCAGACCCCATGGAGGAGGAACAGTGAGAAACAGGAGTGAGGCTGGAGAGAAACCAAGATAAGGAGGGGCTGGGAGGAGGGAAGACACCCAGCAGGTGGGGGCCTCCCCTGGGCCTGGCAGGTCATCTCCAAGGCCCAGCCCTCCTTCTCAACAACTTGGGCATGACAGGGGAACCCAACTTGCCAGCCACAGGGGCAGCAAGCTGAGGAGCTGGGTCGCCTGCAGGAGCCTATTGCACAGCCCAGCCTCGCACTCTGGGCTGGGCTCACCTGCTTCAGGCAGGAGCCAGGGGTAAGGCAGAGCTCTGCCCTGCCTAGCTCCAAGGCTGGCCCTGGGCCTCAACCTCTCTGCACCTGGCTTCTTGTGTATCATGGGGCTGCCCTTCAGCAGCCAGAAAGCAAGGGGCACATCTCTGAGGGAGGCCTAGGTTGTACCTTCCAAGGGGAAGAGATCTTTGGGGACAGATGAGATCTGGATCCCTCAAACTAAGTGAAACTAAGGTAAGGTGCCCAGCTCTTCAGCCCCCACCTTGAGCCCTGAATCTCGCTCTACCCACCAGCTGTCTCCACACCTCCAGGCCTGCCTCCCTGAGGCCCAGGCCACATCTTTCCTTCCCAGCTTCCTGCAGTCCCTACTTTGTGGGCCTGTCAAGACCCCACACCTTGTCCCTCAGACTTCTTTAGACTCATCTCCTACCTCCCCCTCTAAAGGCCTGTCGTACCATGGCACTGTCAGCCCACCCAGCCCACGCGGGCTATTCTCTCTGCCAGCAGGGTCCTCACCCCTTTGCCTCCCCTGAAATATCTCCCTCAGAGGGGCAGCAGCTTCCAAGGCCCTCTGACAACTGAACAGGACTAAGTGGAGATTCTAGATGGTGAGGGCAGGCAGGGGCCTATCCATCTTCACTCCCTGCCAGGCAGGGAAGATGGGATTACATTTTCCTTTGGAGGCTTGTCATTCTAGCCCATCAGCCTGGAAACGAAAGTCCCCTAAGAAATAATAATGAGGCTGAGACAGGTAATGGCTGTTAGGGGCTCTGGCTGGCTGGCTCCGGACAGGGCAGGAGAGAAAGCGCAGGTGTGCCTGGGTCTGTGGGAGGCACTTCCCACTGGTTGATTCCGCTAACCTCCCAGCTGGGGCATTACAGCCTCATTTCACCCACTGAGAAATGGGGCTCAGTGAGCATGAGGACTTGCTTAGTCACGTGGCTTTGAAGGAACAGATCCAGAAATAAACCTCTCTGCCTATCTCCGAGGGTTTGCTCTTTCTCAGACATCAGGCTGCTGTCAGAGGCTGAGGAGTCTCTGCAGGGGGCTCAGGGGCTCCTCATGACCCCCTGAGAATCCCCTTCCACACTGCTGCCCCCCAGACACTTATCTGCTCCCTGAGACCCGTGTGGGAGGGGGCTCTGGACACGGCAAGGATCTTTGGAGGGTCGTTTCTGAGAGCATCTTATTACAATACTTAATTGCTAGTGGAAATAACTTGCAATAATGTCCATTCCACATGATCCTAATACAATTAAAAGTGTTATTATCTCTAGTTTTGCAGTTGCTGTGGTGGGAACCATCATGCTCAGCAGCATTAGCGTATGCTCAATGTCTGGGATTGTCCCCCCCCCCCGCCCCCAGGTTGTGTCCTTATGCCACAGTAATGGCCCTGGCTTCCAACAATGCACTGCCATTCCTTAACTCTGGCTGGGATTTAAAGGAGGGCTTTACACTAAGTAGGAGGCTCCTTCCTTGAGGCACAGTAATCTACCTTAGATGCCTGGAGACAGACCACTATCTACCTCTGAGAAAGTGGCCTTGGGTTTTCTGTCCTGGTGGGATGGTGGCTTATGACAATAGTGGGAGGGATGGAGGATACAATAGCCATTTTGGTTCACTTGATGAGTCTTGCCTGGGTGGTGGGACTGGAGAGGCGTTGGAATCCAGCTTTTAGAGGTGTCTGACCTCTTAGATTTATGTCCCAATTGGCAAACAGTGGGCCTAGAGTTGAGGGCCACACTTGAGTCACATTCCTTGCTCCCATCTTGGCTCTGCTGCCTAATGGGAAGGCTAATTTCTCCAGGGATCTTTCCAGAGCTGTGAAATGAAAATATGAGTGCATAGCCAGAATGGGGGAGGGAAGATAAATGAGATGCAAATAAAGTGCTTAGGATAATGGCTGGACCACAGGAAATGTTTACTAAATCTTAGTGGTATCATTTATTTTTATTTTTATTTTTTTCAGAGACAGAGTCTTACTTCATTGCCCTCAGTAGAGTGCTGTGGCGTCACAGCTCACAGCAACCTCTGACTCCTAGGCTTAGGCAATTCTCTTGCCTCAGCCTCCCACGTAGCTGGGACTACAGGCGCCTGCCAGAATGCCCAGCTATTTTTTTGTTGCAGTTTGGCCAGGGCTGGGTTTGAACCCACCACCCTCGGTATATGGGGCTGGCACTCTACCCACTGAGCCACAGGTGTAATTTTTAAAAGTGGGCATAGTATCAAATGAACAGGATTACTGTGAGGAGTAAATGAAATTCTGTGTGGAGAGTGCCTGATGCATACGGTCAGTGCCCCATAAATGATGGTTATTGCCACCATGATGATGAGGAACACAGTGCCTGGTACACAGGAGGCTCTCGGTGAGTGTGCCTGCTTTAGGCAGCGGCTGGAGGGATAGAGGCTGGACACTAAGAAGAACTGTGGAGCCAGGGCCAGTGTTTGGAGAAAAGTCCGAATTCAGTGGGAGAGTGGACATGACAGGACAGTAGGCGGAGGCTGTTGGAACCAGGGCTGGAGGAAGAAGCCACAGCCCAAGCTAGGCCAGTCCTGCTGTGGCCATGCGGCACCCAGGGCTCCTGTCTGGGACTCAGTTTGGGAGACCTCTCTGCAGACCTCTCTTCCATGTAGGTCCTGAGCTGGGGGCTGCTGACACTGTGGCAGGGGGCCCAGGCAATGTCATGGGATCAGTGCAGTATGCTCAGGACTATGTTGGGGGACAGCCTAGGAGGTGTAAGGTGTGACCAAAGCACCTCCCAGAGGTGTCTGAGTGGGGCAGGCCTCAGGAAAAGGGCCTCCTGCTTACTGTAAAGCTCTCAAGCACCCTTCAACCTTCTCTCTCACCTCCTGGGCACCTGGACTTTACCTGGGAGGGATTTCTAGAAAACAGGAGCTTGGAGCAGACTGGGGAGGAGAATGAAGGTCCCCACATGGGTACCAATCCACCCACAGTGCCTTGCAAACGACCCCTCCTACTTGGTTCTGAGCACTTCTATCCTCGCCCCAGGATTCAGAGCAGCCAGAGACTCAAAAAGGAGTTCATGATTACAACATACTAAAAACTGCAGTCTTTAAAACTATACAGTACTGGCATAAGGCCAGAGAGATAAATAAAAAGTTCCAGGCGGCGCCTGTGGCTCAGTGAGTAGGGCGCCTGCCCCATATACCGAGGATGGTAGATTCAAACCCGGCCCCAGCCAAACTGCAGCAAAAAGATTAGCTGGGTGTTGTGGTGGGAGCCTGTAGTACCAGCTACTTCGGAGGCTGAGGCAAGAGAATCGCCTAAGCCCAGGAATTGAAGGTTGCTGTGAGCTGTGATGCCACAACACTCTACTGAGGGCAATAAAGTGAGACTCTATCTCTAAAAAAAAAGCACAAAACCCTTTCCCCCCATTAAAGAAAAGTAAAAAGTTCCAAAATAGATCCAAATACATAAAGACTATTTAATATGATAAAAATGACATCTCAAATTAGAGGAGAACGGTTGGATTAATCAGTAGAGAGGTTAGGGACATTGGGAGACCATCTAAAAAGAACACAGTAAGATCATAAAAATCCCCTTTTCAAAAAGGGGAAAAAAAGAAATGTTAAAAATAGTGGAAATAGACTTGGTGCCCATAGGGCACTGGCCACATGCACTGGGGCTGGTGGGTTTGAACCCAGCCAGGGCCTGCTAAACAACAAGAACAACAATAACAAAAAAATAGTTGAGTGTTGTGGCGGGTGCCTGTAGTCCCAGCTACTTGGGAGGCTGAGGCAAGAGAATGGTTTAAGCCGAAGAGTTTGAAGTTACTATGAGCTATGACACCACAGCACTCTACTGAGAGTGGAAACAGGTAATTAATTACCAAAGGATACCACAGAGAAATTTTTTTTTTTTTTTTTTTGAGACAGAGCCTCAAGCTGTCCCCCTGGGCAGAGTGCCATAGCATCACAGCTCACAGCAACCTCCAACTCCTGGGCTCAAGCGAGTCTCCTGCCTCCGCCTCCCAAGCAGCTGGGACCACAGGCGCCCGCCACAACGCCCGGCTATTTTTTTTTTTAGTTGCAGCTGTCATTGTTGTTTGGCGGGCCCGGGCTGGGGATTCGAACCCGCCACCTTAGGTGTACGTGGCTGGCGCCCCAGCTGCTTGAGCACAGGTGCCGAGCCGAGAAATATTTTATAATCGTGGAATGGAAAGACCTTTCTGACAAAAAACCTAGGAGCCATATAAAGAGATGACAGATTCTAATACTTAAGAATTAAAAATGGTAAAAATATAATAAGCAAAGTCAAAAGGTAAATGATAAAATAGGAAAAATTATATGCCTTTTATTAGCCAAAGGCCTAATTAGCCACATCTATAAAAAAACTCCAGCAAATGAATAAGCAAAAAGCAAATCCTATGGCAAAAAAGGGCAAAAGCGATGAAGAGACACTTCACAGTAAGTAAAATACAAATAATTCAAATGTGAAAAATGCCAAATCTATAATAATTATCATCAGGGAAATGCAAATTGAAACTACCGTAAGGTACAAATTTCCACCCATTAGATTGGCAAAAGTCAAGAAATCAGCCAATGCTTTATATGTGAGGGAATGTTTATAGGCACAACCAAGTAGGGAGGCCATTTGCGAGATCAGGATGATGGAAGTATGTATTCCTTACTCAGAAATTCCTCTCCCAGGTCACTGGCATGCTGTCCTGGCAAAGGACTGAAAGCACCTGGCATGTCAGTGGGGTTCAGGAACAGGGACTGACTAGATACCCAGAGAATCAGGGAATTTCCAGACCAGGAGTGGGTGTGGACACCAGTGGGATGATCTTGACGCACTGGAGGAGACAGAGCTCCAGAATTTTATTAAAATGCAGAACAGAGGGTGTAGGAGACAACTGTTTGTGTTTAGAGAAAAAGGAAAAAGAAAATGCATATGGATAGTTGTGTGTGCTTCAAATATCTCTAGAAAGATAGTAGGGAGATTTTCATTGCATACTTTTTTTTTTTTTGCAGTTTTTGGCCGGAGCCAGGTATGAACCTGCCACCTCCGGTATATGGAGCTGGCGCCTACTCCTTTGAGCCACAGGCACCACCCCATTGTGTACTTTTAATTATTGAACCATATCAATGTATTACATGGCCAAAAATTAATTAAAACAAAACAAAGAAGACGGATTCCTTAGAGTCTTAGATTCAAATGACAGAATTTTGGGAAGAGAATAGACTTCCCAATCCCTGTTTGAATACTTTGAGCTCCAAAGAACTCCCTCCCTCATGGAATGGTAGCTCCATGTGCCCTGGGAGCCAGCAGCACAGAAGATGGTGTCTGACTCCCTGCATTGATCTGCCACTTCCAGCTGGCTCTGGGGATCTATAGCTCTCTCTCTCAGGATCCAGCAGGTGTGACCTGACCTGCCGAGAGCCAAGCATGGCTCCAGGAGGTGACCACAAAGTGTGCCAGCTCCATCCGGGGGCCAGTTGGTACAGTTCTTTCAAGTGCTAGCTTTGTAGCCAGGAGGAGAAAGTGTCTCTTAGGGGACTGCAGTAGCCCAAGGAAGACCTCAGCATATAGTGACCCGCAGGAGAAAGGAGGGAGGGGACCAGAGCTGCTCTCAACTCTTCACCTCTTTAAGACTTCAGTTAGTGGGGTCCCAGACTGACTGCAGATGCCCCTTGGACACTCACAGCCACCTCCCATTCCACATGGCCCAGCCCAAGCACATCTGTCCTTCTCCCTCTTCCTCTCCCATGTCCCCCTTCTAGATAAAAAGAGTCACCCTCAGAGTCACTCTGGACCAATCTCATGGGCTCATGGATGTCTCTGAATATTTCTGCCCCTTCCTAAATGACATTCCCACTCTGGGAAAAGAGATGACCCAACCCTCCCTCCATGGCCCAAGTGCTCCTGGGAGCGAGGGGCTCTCCTGTGGTCAGCCTTGTGCCACCTCTGCACCCAGTGGGGCCTTGAGAAGAGCAAGCATTGGAAACGTACACAATGACCTTGTGTCATTGGACCTGAGCCAGAGATTAGCTCGGGAAGACGTGAAGTCTGTCTGCTTTGGGCCCAGCCCTGAGTGGGGTACTGGGCACAGAGAGATGGACAAGGCTAACTCCAGCCTCCAGGGAATAGCTAGATGGGTGGGTCAGGGTTGGACAGCCAGATGGAAACTGACAACACAGATGCTCAGAAATGTGGCAGAGATGGCTGCAGAGACTGGGGGAGCCCCCAGAGAGAAGCCTGTGTGCATAAGAGGATACTGAGGAAGGATCTAAAAGAGAGAGAAAGGGAGGGCAAGAGTGAAGGGTTAGGTGGTGCCTGTGGCTCAGTGGGTAGGGAGCCGGTCTCATATACTGAGGGTAGCGGGTTCAAACCCAGCCCCGGCCAAACTTCAACAAATAAATAGCTGGGTGTTGTGGCGGGTGTCTGTAGTCCCAGCTACTTGGGAGGCTAAAGCAAGAGAATCAATTGCCTAAGCCCAGGTGTTGGAGGTTGCTGTGAGCTGTGATGCCAGAGCACTCTACTGAGGACAACAGAGTAAGACTCTATCTCTACAAAAAAAAAAAAAAAAAAATTAAAAAAATTAAAAAGAGCAAAGGGTTAAAGGGAGAGAAGAGGTAGATAGACTAGGAGGGCCTGAGATGTCTCACACACAGGAGCTGAGGGTGACTGTCTCTTGCAGGGGCTGGGAGAAGTTGGCAGGGGCCAGGTCATATTGACTAGGGGAGTGTGCGTCATCTTGGGAACATTGGGAGTGGTGGAAAGGCTGTAAGCTGGGAATCCCAACTCTGAAACAGGGTTCTCAACAGAGCTCACTGAAGGAGGGGAAAAAAGGTGAGGCCCGAGGCAGGGCCAGCCAGAGGGCCAGGGCTACAACAGGAGCCATGAATCTGTAGGGGAATTGTGTGGCTACAGTGCTGGGACGCTGGATCTTCCACTTCTAAACTAGGAAACTTTGGGAAAGTTATGTAACCTCTTTGGATCTCAGTTTTCCAAACTACAAAACAAGATAACAACAGTTTCTACGTCATAGGGCTGCAGGGAGGGTTAAAAGAGTTAAAATAGGTCAGGTTGTGAGTGCTTGGCACCTACTGAGCAATCAGTGTTAGCTATCAGAACAATTAAAACCACCATCTAGGGGAGGATGAGGCTCTGGCTCTTCCTCTGCTGCTGGGGCCTCCAGCCTTCCTTCCCCTGTCCCAGCCCCAGTGGAAGCAGCCCTTACCTTGTGCAGCCAGTGCAGGTTCATCTGCTGTCCCACGGCAATGTGACATAGTGCCAGCACCTGGGGAGGGGCCCACAGGGTGACAGTCAGGCCCCATGTGAGCAGAAGCTTTTGCTCATTTGCTAGACACCCGACTCCCCAGTGCTGCTCTAGGCCCAACCCAGACCAGAGTCAGTAAACCCTTCCTACAGGCAATGGAAATGCCCTGCCCTGCCCTGCCCTGCCTGCCCTGCCTCCCCTGCCCTGCTCAATCCAAGCCTGGCCTCCCCCAGATTATTCCACCCCTCTAGCCTTCTAGACTTCTCCTTCTCTGGGAATTCCCTCTTAAGGGTTCACTCATCTTGCTGCACTTGGACTGCCCAACTTAATTCATCACATATTTTGGGAGTTCCAGGCCCCAGGATTTTGAAATGGGTTTGAGCCCAGTCCCCCAAGGAGCTCCTAGGCCAGCATGGGGATAGATCTGAGTCTCAGGTTCCTGGAAGAGGAAGTCTGCAGTGGGCCTAAAAGCCAGGATGGCTCTCACTGGGTGGAGGGAAAACATTCCAGGAAGGGGCAGCTGGGGAGACTGGCAAAAGGAAGATGACCTCCGAACTTGGGTTCCCTGGCTTAGAGGTACAGTGCCCCAGAGGGCCTGGGAAAAGCCAGCTTCCCATTTTGATCAGGGCCGGCTCCTCCATCAGGCTGCCAAGTCTCCCTTCCCCTGGGAGCAGATCACCTGCCCTCCAAGACATCCCTACATACCAGGAGGCCAGCAATGTATGTGAAGGCAGTAGCTGTGGTCACAAGGATGGGCACAGGCCAGTCACTCCAGTAGCCCATGCGGTTGTAGAGGTACCTGCCAGGAGGAGGAAGGGTCGGGGTCAGACCTCCACTGGGCCACTGCTGGCCCAGGAACCCGGATGGTCTCAGCTCTGACACAGCTGGGGGACCACAGGCTGGGCTTAGTGACCAGGCCCTACCCACTCAGAAACGATACTCAGTGTCTCCTGATGCTCCGACGAACCTGCTCATAGAGGACTCCTGGGGACCAAGAAGTATGAAGAAGGAAACACCAGTTCCCCATAATTCTACTGCTCAGAAGAAACCATTACCAAGATTGTGCTGAATTGTCTTCCTGCAGGATTCCCCTTCATGACTATATATTTGTATGAAGCAAAGCTGGGCCCCCACTGCATACAGCACAGAGGTCAGGAGCGTGGGCTTGGGAGCAAAGCACACACCCTGAATTCAAATCCTGATATGCCTTTCACTGGCTCAGAACACCTTGGGGAGGTGACAGGCTTCACTGATTCTGAGATGCCAGTGACTGTGCCCACCAGCTCCATTTCGAGGTTATAACATGAAAACTAGACTTCATCACATGTAATGCTTAACTTCTCTGAATCTCAGTTTCCTCACCTGCAAGATGAGGGAGAAGTGAGGCAAGGCACATAGCGGGCACTCGATGCACTTTCTAACACCAGTATTGACTCATGCCAGTAAAATCCCAAAGAAATGTGACTTTTTTCAATAGCCATGTGGTCTTCCACTGAATTCATATGTAGCCAACTACCTCCTGATGGTGCTCAATAGTTTCCAATTGTTCACTCTTAGAAGTTAAAACCAAATGAAGATGTTGTATATTTCTTTCTGTCTTTCTGATTATCTCCTTGGGATAGATTCCTACAGATAGAATTATAGGGTCAAAGGGCATTAACTTTTTAAGGCTTCTGATAGATAGTGCCTAGTTGCTCTCTAGAAATATTTTTTTTTTTTTTGGAGACAGAGCCTCAAGCTGTCCCCCAGGGTAGAGTGCCGTGGCATTACAGTTCACAGCAACCTCCAAATCCTGGGCTCAAGCGAGTCTCCTGCCTCCGCCTCCCAAGTAGCTGGGACCACAGGCGCCCGCCACATTGGCCCAGCCATTTTTTGGCTGCAGCCGTCATTGTTGTTTGGCTGGTCCGGGCTGGGGATTTGAACCCGCCACCTTAGGTGTACGTGGCTGGCGCCTTAGCCGGTTGAGCTACAGGCGCCGAGCCGCTCTGTAGAAATATTAAACCACTCACTTCTCCTTGTACAACTAGAGAAACTACAGCTCACAGGAAGCAATAGCTTCTCAAGGTCATTAGAAAATCCAAGCCAACTTTAGCTTGCTGCTACCGTGGTAGGGGCCTTGGCAGGGAGATGCGAGGGGACACCAGCTCCCCCATCTCCCCTCCACACCAGGCATCTGCCCTCCCCATCAAAGCACAGGAGAAAATCTGCTGCCTGGAAGATTACTGAGAGCATTCATCTCTTTGCACAGTGGGGAAACTGAGGCCTAAGAGGGGTAGCACTTGCTCCCAGTAACTACTACTGAAAGATGTTCTGGTCCCATTTATCTCTTCAGGCATGACCCCTACTGGCAGGGGACCTCCTGGACAGTAACAGCCCTGCCTCTCCTTGTCCAGGGCCAACCCCTTGGCTCCAGCTCCCAGCCTCTTGCTGTGTGGGACTATCCCCAGGGACTCGAGAGCATCGGGGGTAGGCCAGCGTCTCTTGAAACCCAGCACTGACTGCAAGAATCTGAGGTGACAGGATGATCCCTGAGTCCCTGGCACCCATCCTCTGCTTGAGTCTCCCAATAATAGGGAGCTTGCTCTCTGTGCACAGTGGTAACTCCACGGACCAAGTCCCCATCCCAGATCTGTCTGTATTTTGCTGTGTGACTTTAGAAAGGCTACTTAACCTCTCAGACCCCTGGTTCTCCTCAGACTGTCCTCAATACATATTTTTGGCACTAAAATATTACCGTATTTTGGTATTGTGGCCATGGATGAACCCTGTCCCTCCCTGGGCCTAATTTCTACCACCTATATATAATGGGGGTGGGCCTAGTGATCTTCCAGGCAGTAGAACTGTCCAGGGTCTGTAGTCAAGAGCCAGCAGGGAGGCTCGGCACCTATAGCTCAACCGGCTAAGGCGCCAGCCACGTACACCTAAGGTGGCGGGTTCGAATCCCCAGCCCGTACCCACCAAACAACAATGACGGCTACAACCAAAAAATAGCCGGGTGTTGTGGCGGGCACCTGTGGTCCCAGCTACTTGGGAGGCGGAGGCAGGAGACTCGCTTGAGCCCAGGAGTTGGAGGTTGCTGTGAACTGTAATGCCACGGCACTCTACCCAGGGCGACAGCTTGAGGCTCTGTCTAAAAAAAAAAAAAAAGGCCAGCAGGGAATATAGCCCATGCTTTGGACATCTGCATAGATGAATAATTGATTTATGGCATTTAATAAAGGCCAGAGGCTACCTCTGAGACTTGGCTGGGGCTGCTGTTGAGCAGGGGCAGGACAGCAGCTTGTCTTTTTTTGGGCTTACTAGTAACGGAGGCACAGCCTGGTGCCACGCAGAGAAGAATGGACATCCAGCTCCATGAATTGGGTCTTATGACCATCACAGAATCCTAGAACCACAGCCCAGCAGTAACCCAGACTCCTAGAAATCCCTGACTCTAACCTCATAGCCACCTTCCAGCTAAAGACAAGGTCTCCTAGGAAGCAGCCCTCACCTTCAGGTGCAGTCTGAGCCCTCCCATGCCCATTGTCTCATCTCATCCTCAGAAAGACCTGATGAAGTCAGAGTCACCCCCATTTTACAGAAGAAGAAAGAGAGGCTTGGAGAGCACCAAAGACTTGCACATGGTCATACTGTCCTGAAACTTCTGATTGAAAAGAAGGAAGAGGCTGGGTACAGTGGTTCATGCCTGTAATCCTAGCACTCTGGGAGACCCAGGCAAAAGGATCCATTGAGCTTAGGAGTTTGACACCAGCCTGAACAAAAGCAAGACCCTGTTTGTACTAAAAATAGAAAAATTAGCCAAGTGTCGTAGCAGATATCTATAGTCTCAGCTATGTGTACTAGGGAGGCTTAGACTGGAGGATCCCTTTAAACCCAGGAATCTGAGGTTCCTGTGAGCTTGGCTGATGCTACTTCACTCTAGTCTGGGCAAGAGAGTGAGACTTTGTCTCAGAAAAAAACAGGGAAGGGGGAGGAGGGAGGACAATTGGTGGGGTCTCACCTAGTATATATAATTGATAGTGTTCAGCACACACCCTAGGTAAAGGGCTCAACTACAAATTGAACTTTACCTAAGAAATGAAAACAATGTAATCTAAACATCTGTACCCTCGTATTAATCTGAAAAAAAAAAAAAAAGAAAGAAAAAGAAACCCAGAAGGGGCATGAGGAGCCTGACTTCCAGGCCTAACTCTGCCCCCAACTAGCTATATGACCTTGGACTTTAGTGTCTACACCTATCAATGGAACCCTGGATGCTTCCCTCCTCCCATGGCCTTCCAAACAAAAGGCAGGCAATGGAGGGGGTATCAGGAAGAAATAGATGCCCCTCCTATACCCAGACACCTGCCTCAGACAGCCCACAAATGGCCATGAGCCATCCCACACCATAGCATCTGCCAGCCCTGCCTAGGGCCTTGAGGCTTTAGTCTCTCTGGGCCTTGGATTTCTTGTCTATAAAGGGAGTGACTAGAGGTCCCCAGCCCCAGGCTGAGTCCTGCCCGCAGACTTAGGTCTATTCTCTATGTTAGCAGCACCAGGAAAGAGTATCTTGTATCTCTTCCATAGGCTTCAGCTCCTGCGAAGCCTTTTTCAGGCTCCCCACCACCTCTTCAGGAGACCAGAATGCAGCTTGAATCACCTATGCAAACCCCAATGGGTCCCCAAGAAGTGAGCAGCTGAAGTTTCCAGATGACAATCCTAGCCATTCTTTAAGGCCTGGTTCCCATGCCTCCTCCACCAGGAAGCCTTCTATATGTCCTCAATGGGACTCCCCTCAAGGCATGGAGCTCTCTTTTTCTCTTCATATTTCTTGCCAGCCTGTGATCCCGCACCCCCATCTCCCACCCATAGTCTCACACCAGCCTCCTCACCCTAGAGGTGGGTAGGACAGAAGCTCACAAGCAGATAGATCTTGCCCAAGGCCACACAGAGAGTTGGTGGCAGGGCATGGAGAGCCAACCTAGGAGGCTCAAACCCCGGCCCCCAGGTTCCAGCCACTGCATACCTGGGACCCAGGCCCCCTGACCCTGCCTGCCCAGTCCCGACTCCACTCACCAGTTGAATTCATCATAGTCATTGTGGACTTCCCACCAGAAGTAGAGCCAGGTGAGCGTGAGGCCAAAGGTGAAGGTGAGGAGCAGGAACCAGAGGCGCTCCCACTGCAAGGGCAGAGCAAAGAGAGGCCAGTAAGTGGGGCGAGGGGCCAGCCCCCAGGCTGCCTCCCACGGGAATGTTTCCTTCCTCCGTTTTGGCAGCCACACCTGCTGGACAGGCAAGACTGTCCTTTGTGCACTGGGAGAAAGTGGGGCTCAGAGAGGGGAAGTGACCGGTCCAACCTCACAGAGCTCAAAGTTACAAAATAGTGGGGAGCCTGGAGCAGTTGGGGGTTCCCCCAGAGCTGTGATGTTACTGCTGCAGCCTGAGGCCTTTCTGGTGTGTGCCAGTTTCCCCATCCTGGCGAAGGTCTCCAGAAGCAAAGCGCGCCCTGACGCTTTCGCACTAGCACAGTGAGGGCAGTCTGTGAAGTCGCATGATGCTCATTGCATCCTCACGCATGCCTACAAAGCAGCTCTCATTCTCCCCTCACCTCATGCTGCTGATACAGACACTAAGGCCCAGAGGAACCAAGCAACTTGCCCAGGTTGCACTGCAAGTTAGCAGAGGATTGGGGCTGGGGCTCTGGACTCGACTTGAAGAACTACAGTGTCCTGCCACCTCCACTGGGTGCCAGCTCCCCGCCCCTGTCTCCAGCCGGGTGGGGGTGGGCCATGAGGGGACGCTGACCCTGACCCCACCACTGCTGCTTCCTGAGGGGCCTGCTCAGAGGTCTGCAGGCACTTCCGCCTGGGCCCTCCGGTTTATCCCTGCTTTCATCCGCCCCCTTATCTTGGAAGCACAACAAGCTTGGAATATCCTGCATCCCGGGAACTGCTGAGATCATCAGAACAAATCAACAGCCCTTAAGGGGAGGTCAGTGTGAGGAGAGAATAGAGACACCTTCCCTTTAAGGGCAAGGAGCTGAGGCATCCCACCTCTGGGCTCCCTGCTACCCGACCCCTCCCACACATGACAGCCAGCCCAGAGCTGTGGCACTACCCAATCTTGGTATAACCTCTCAGGGCTCCTCACTGCTCAGCCAGCAGGGACACCCTTCTGGGTGTGGCCCCTGCCTTCTCTGGCTTTACCCCCAACCAGTTCTCTCAACCTGGAAAGGCCACACTGCCCCGGGCTTGTTCCCCAACACTCACTCCATGCCTGGCCCCAGGCAGAAGCGCTTGTGCTTGGATGACCCACTTGGGCAGGAGGGTGAGCCACTCAAGTGTGGTGACTTGTGCTTGGGTGAGCAGCCGCCACCACTAGTGGCAAGTGCAGAGCCAGGCTGCCTTGCTTGGTCCCACTTTGTACATGAACAGAGATGCAGAGGTAGGTGACACCCTGAAAGACAGTCTTTCCAGCAGGCCCTGGGTTGAGGGGATGGCTTCTCATTCTATCTGCCCCATCTGGACTCAGAATAAATGAGCCCCAGGTCTAGGTACGGCAGAAATGGGGAAAGCCTAGTTAGATCAGGCCAGGCCATGTGCCCTTCTGGAGCAAAGGAACCCAAGACCCCTCAGCCAGAGAGTGACCAGTACTACCTGGGGAAACAGAGAAGGGTGGTGGTTCAGTCCTGCTTCCTGCCACCTGCCAACGGAGCTGGGCCACACTGCCACATCTGAGCTGACACCTTCTCTCCATACCCCTACCCTGGCCAGCCCAGGACCCCAGGTCTAGTTCTTCTAAGAATTTCTTTTCTTTCTTTCTTTTTTTTTTTTTGCAGTTTGGCTGGGGCTGGGTTTGAACCTGCCACCTCCACCTACTCCTTTGAGCCACCGGCGCCGCCCTCTTCTAAGAATTTCTTTTGCCACCTCAAATTCTTATTTGCTCACAACAGCACACATTTCCTACAGAGTGTAGCTGGTAAGTCCCAGGCCAGCTTAAACATCTGGGTCTCTCAAAGGGAGTGCCATGGCCCCCAGACTGACCCTCCCACCTCTGGTCACGTCATGCCCCAGCTGGAGAGTCCCACTGACCTGAGCTCTTCAGCAGACGCCAGGGCCCCCCACCAGGCCCAGGTCAGCCTCTGTGCCCACAGCCCAACACAGGCACTTTATGCCCATGTAAAAGATTACCCATAGTTCCCCAGACAGGTTCTTTCAGATCCCACGCCATCACACAACCCTATCCTCCATCTAGAAAGCAGCCTTTCTCTAGCCCCTCTGGGAAATCTTCCTCCTTCCCCAGTAACCTCCCTGAGGCCTCCCCTGTCTGAGAGGGTGAATCTTGTCTCCTCAGAACTCCTATAACCCTTGTACCCATCTGAGTTATGGCACAGACCCTGTAGTCGCAGAACTGTCTCTATACAAGTTGCTCCCCTACTCCCCCCTTCACTATACAGAAGCACCTTGAAATTTGGGTGGTATTTGGCCAGGTGAGGTGGTTCATGCCTGTAATCCTAGCACTCTGGGATCTGAGGCAGGAGGACTGCTTGAGCTTAGGAGTTCAGACCAGCCTGAGCAAGAGTAAGACCCCCATCTCTACTAAGAATAGAAAAACTAGTTGGGCATTGTGGTGAACGCCTAGTTACTCAGGAGGCTGAGGCATGAGCATTGCCAGAGCCCAACAGTTTGAGGCTGCTGTGAGCTGTGATGATGCCAAGGTATTCTACCTAGGGTGATAGAGGAGTAAGACTCTGTTTCAAAAAACAAAAAAAGAAAGAAAGAAATCTGGGAGGTCTTCTTCTTCTTTTCTTTTTTGAGACAGAGTCTCACTGTGTCACCCTTGGTAGAATACTGTGGCATCATAGCTCACAGCAACCTCTAACTCTTGGGCTTAAGCGATTCTCTTGCCTCAGCCTCCCAAGTAGCTGGGACTACAGGCACCCACCACAACGCCCGGCTATTTTTTGTCGCAGTAGTCATTGTCATTTAGCTGGCCTGGGATGGGTTCAAACCCGCCACCCTCGGTGTATGTGGCTGGTGCCCTAACCACTGTGCTATGGGCACTGAGCCAAAATCTGGGTGGTCTTCATATTCTAGGTGGCACAGGAATTTAAGAAAGATTAGATAATGAAATTGTGCACAAGGAAACACCCTTTCTCCTACCCTGGCATGAGTATAACCATCCAGGACATATTTCACTGGGGGCTTAATACCCCAACCCCACAGAGGAGTGCTCGGTCTTCTATGGACCCTGAGCTGGAGGCACCAGATGGCCATCTGTCCACAGAGATCCCTCTGCCCTAGCAGGAGCAGGGCTTTTATGCCTCTGACCATAAGACGAGGTTCTGAGAGGAGACCAGGGGAGGGGTGAGCCTCTGCTAAGGATGGGTCATGTCCCAGGCAAGTAGCCTGGAGGCTGAGTGGGTAGAGAACCTTCTACAGGTGCTGGGGGGCCATCCTGCAGCCAGGTATGATGCAGGACCCAACACTGACAGATGGTTAGGGAGACCACAGGTGTTGGGAGGGCCCATAGCAGTGTGGGGCTTTAGCAGGTGGGGTGCAGCAAGGGCCACTGTCCTCACTTGGACAGATTCTAACAGTGGGGCAGGGCAGGACAGAGCAGGAATGGCCCTGGGGCCCAATCAGGGTGTTAAGACTAGAACCTGCAGGTGGGTGAGACACTAGGACATAGAAGGATGAGGGCAGGGCCTAAGGAACTAGAAAATACAAACCCCATTAGAGCTGGGACATGGGAGGGGGGTGGGGTGGCTGGGATTGAGGTCCTGGGAGTTGGAAGCCACAGGGAGCCTGTAGATGAGGATGAAAAGGCCCCAGCTGCAGGGGAAAAGAGGCAGGGGGGCTCACTCTAAGAACAATCAGCGGAAACACCAAATGGCAGGGGCTAGAAGAAAGGGAAGGGGAAGGTGAGGAAGAGGCCTGGAGCAGCTCTGCTGATAAAGAGGCTCCAAATGGCACTAATGGTCCCTGTCAGGGCTCATTAGGGTGGAGAAAGGCCTGTACAGCTCCAGCTGCTAACAGCCAATCCCGCCCTGCCCTGAGGAGATGCTGCCCCACAATCACTGCCCTAACACCCCTGCCACGTGGAGAGGGCCCTGTTCTCTCATCTGCACCCTGCAAGGGGCTATTTATTTAGGGACATTTATCCTTGTCCCAATGAGGCCCAGAGGGCCACCACATCAGCTGAAAGAGCAGTGAGCTACACCATACCCAGGAAGCATCATTCTTATCAAGGTGGCCATAAACGTATGCACTTATTATGACAGTTTTATAGTGCATGGTAGCCAGGTGTCCTGGGGAAGAGGTTCCTTTTGGGGATTTGCACAAAGGCTCAACATGAATGAGTGGAGGTGAGTCAGAGAGGTCACCAAGGAGGGGAGGCCTGGGGATAGGGTTTGAACCCAGTGTCCTGACAGGATGCAGTCCTCTGGAGGACCCCTCGAGGGCCAGCCCTGGATAGCTCCCCTCAAAATCCACCCTTATCCTCTGGGCAATCTAGCCCCAATTTGGATCCTCTCTTCCCTCTTTCTGGGGTCCACCCCCAGGCCAGACCTCTTGCTCCTTAGGAAACCTTTCCATCCCCCAAACCTCCAAAGACCTCCCTTCTCTGACCATCCTGCACAAACTCTTGACACCCACCAATCTGGCCATGAGTCAGATTCCAAACTGTGGAGATGGAAAGAGCGTGGGACCTGAAGACAGGGCTCTGCCACTTGGGCAAGTCAGTCAAACCCTCTGAGCCTTGGTCGCCACTCCTGGAAATGAGAATAATGACCTTGACCTTGGAGACATGCTGTTAAATGAGCTTATAGGCTTCAGTGGCACACAGTAGGTGCATACTAAGGGATAATCCCTGGGCTATGAGCTCCTTCAGGGCAGAGATGGCCTGAGCTATTTCTGTGTCCCCAGGCCCTCACACTGGGCACAAGGTGACGTTCAGATATGGTAAGAGAGACAGAAGAAGTATAAGTGTGAGACAGGGCCACCTGTGGACAGGGCCACTGTTCAGGCCCCAGACTTACCCTCAGGAAGCAGGACAAAGGCTGAGGCAAGCTGGGGCTGAGGGCACTGCCACCCCTTGGCAGAACAGTCCCTAAGCTGGCCCAGGCTGCAGCAGGGGGGGACCAGGTAGGAAGAGAACAGCTAGAGCAGCAGGTGACCCT